TTTCTTATCATGATTTGATAGATAAAATTCTCCAATTAAAAGGTGGTTATTAGCAGAATGGATTCAAAAACAAGACTCAACTATATGTTGTCTACAAGAATAAAAGACACAAACAGATTGAAATTGGAAGGATGGAGAAAGATATTCCATGCAAATGATAACCAAAAGAGCTAGAGTGGCTGCTAATATCAGACGAAAGAGACATTGTGTCAAATAGTGTTATAAGAGACATAGAAGGACATTTTACATCGATAAAAGAGTCAATCCATCAGGAAGGTGTGACAGTTATAAACATACTGCACTTAACGTCCAAAATATATAAAGCAAGAACTGACAGAATTGCAGGGAGCAACAGTTCTGCAATCATAGCTGGAGATTTTAATACCCTACTTGCAATAATGGATAGAATAACTAGGCAGAAAAATCAATAAGGAAATAGAGGACTTCAAGAGCACTATAAATCAACTAGATCTAACATACATAGAAGACTCTACCCAATGATATTAGAATTTTTGTTCTTCTCAAGTGTGCGTGGAACATTCTTCAGAGTAGACTATATGTTAAGCCACAAAACAAGTCTCACATAAAACATCTCTGAAAACAATGGAATAAAACTAGAAATCTATAACAGAGAGAAATCTGGAAAATTCACAAGTATATGGAAATTAATAAACTCTTCAATAAAGAAATCACTAGAAAACCAGAAAAATATAGCTCATAGAAAGTTGCAACACAAAAACGTGGGAGAAGTAAAGGGTAGACTCATCTTGCACAAGGGAAAAAGAAATAAGAGATTTAATTATAGTAAATTACAAAAGTTACCAATAAAAGAACTCTAGGTATATAGTGTTGGGGGGATAACAAGTGAGTGAATCCTTGTCTATTATAGCAAAAAGTCTATCTCAACATTATAAGTTGAGAAAGCATAATATACAGCTAGAGATTTGGTTGAAAAGGAGTTAGCAAGATATTATTTAAAACAAAACAAAACAAAACAAAAAAACAGCAGCCATATAAGTAAAAGGAAAATCAGGTGAATATGCTATCAAAAAAATCAATGCAAAGAGCTTTTCAAGATGAAGAGTGTCAGCTATGTCAAATGGTGTGGAGAGTTCAAGTATAAAATAAGAACTTAAAAGTTCAAGAAGTCAGTCTGGATACTCCACTAAGAGTCCCTGGTATATACACATACAAGGTTTAATCAGCTCTTTTAGAAATATTTCTATCTTTCTGATGTAAGAGATTTTACATGAATCAGACAATTGAAACTAAGTTGAAGAAATTATCTATTATCACTACAAGTTATTAGTAATTTTGCATTAACGTTTTGCTAATAATTTGCTGTCTTTACAGTTTTATTTTTCTGGCTTCAAATATCATCTTTGTCTCCTTGATGTCATAGTTTTAAGTCATTAAAAGGATCAGACCAAGATAATGTAATGGTGTCTCCATGGCACTTTGAACTTACATCAGTAAAAAATAAATCTTTTGCCAGAAATTGTGGATCCCTTTCCAATGATTCATTACTGTTCTCAACATCCTCTCCACTGAATCCACACATCACTTTTCCCATCTCTCCCAAACTCTTCCTTTGTTCTTCTTGCTTAAAAGGACTTTGACTTTGTGGAACTTCTAATAAAAATTCTGAAACTCTTGGCAGTAACTACAAGGCATAACAATTTTCACTAACAGATACTTCCTCTTTCTTTTGGAACTGAATATTTGTTTTGAGACCATAAAAGTGAAGACTCTATAAGTTTAAATTATTTTAGAGGGTCACAAAATTTTTGGCCATAAGCTGCCTAAAAAGTTCAAAGTGTTAAGAAGATCATATTAACTACAATCCATACCTATCAGAGATCATTTTGCCAGGTAAAAGTGACAATTAATAAACAAAAACACTTCTGCACTCACTGTAGCTGCCAACCCTAGTAAGACATGAACAGTGAACGGCCCTGTAACAAGAGCATAGAATGAATGACTTAAGCTGGTAGGACAGAAGGCCGATGACTGCTGAATACACTGGCCTTTGGTTCTACACCCAGCTCTACCATCACTAACTTCAATATCTACAATAACAGCTTCAAATGATCTCTCTCTGATGACTCTTACTTCTACTCTTCTCTAACAACCCACACCAGCCACAATAATGGCCTCCAAATTGCTCTTAGATATGTTCCACCTTCAAAATCTTTAACTCCCAAAACTTAACTCTGACGATAAATACCCACTATTTCAACTCACTCCTTCATATGCTTCTTGTCTTCAACTTCATTTAGACTTCCAGTTTCAGAAATACTAAATTTTCTCCTCATTTGTTGGCAGCCTTCTATTTTTTAATACTTTAAAATTCTAGTGTAGACCATATGACCCATCATATCTTTCTTTTATCATTTTAGTTGAATTTTTAATTCTTTACCTTTGATCCTTTTTCTCCTTACTCTTTAACAAACATAGAGCTTCTCTACTGTTATACCTACTCTGTGGTCCGGGAATATAATTCAATAATTCTGACTATAGTTGCTGCAATTTCATGGTCTCTAACCTCATTTAGTTCCTCAGAATTTTCCTTCAATCTGTCAACATTTCCCTAATTAGCTCCCTCTGGATATCAAATAAGACCTGAAAAAATGGAGATATACCATGGTTTTTAAAGTGATGATTTATTACCTTAAGAATGTCAATACTTCTGAAATGAATAACTTAAATGTCCTTTAGATATAATTCTTAACATTTCCATTTAATTAAATAATTGTTCACTGAAGTATAATTAACGTAGAATGTTGTATCAATAGATGAAATGATTTTAAAGCTCATATAGAAGAACAAGTGTGTGAGAATTAAAACTTTGAACAGTGAAAGCAGATTTCCCCTACATAGATATTAAGACTTACTATGAAACCACTACAATCAAGCAGTTTCGGTATTGTCATTAAAACGGATAAATAGATAAGTGAAATGGAATAGAAAGTCCAGAAATGGGGTTGCCTGGGTGACTCAGTTTGTTGAGCATCCAGCTATTGATTTCAGCTCAGGTCATGATATCAAGGTCCTGAAATTGAGCCCTGCATCCAGCTCTGTGCTTAGCATAGAGTCTGCTTGAGATTCTCCCTCTCCCTCTGCCCCTCCCACTCATGCTCTCTCTCTCTCTCTCCAATAAGTAAATCTTTAAAAAAAAACTCTAGAAATCTATCCAAATATTTACAGGAATGTAATTTAAGATGAAAATGACATTCTCATTAAAAAAGAGAATACTTTAATTAAAAATGCTATTACCAAATTGAACTGAAATAAAATCAAGTTAGACTCTTACCTAACACTATGTATAAAAATAAAGTTGATGTAGTAAGGATGAACTTTTAAAACCTTACTAAAATTTTAGAATATAATGTATAAAATAATTTGGATAAGCTTGGATGTAAGAAAACTTCTTAAGGAAGATAGGAAAAATGTTTTTTAGAAAAAGCTGTCAGAAATTGACTTGTATAGTGTTTCATAAATCTAAAGCTCAGAGCTATAAAGTTTTAACTTTTTAAAGTGTTATAGTTCTGACCAAGTAAAATGATATTAAATAAAGCTCTAGGGCAATATAAGAATAATATATATATTTGTTATATAAATTATCACTTAATTAAAATTTCTCTTCTTTTTACTTTATTTTTGCCAGCTCAAAGAGCTGAGAAGTCTGACATGTGGATACAATACCCAAGTGAGCTAAAGGAAGTATTCTGATCAATATAAATTAATCCTATAATGAAAATTTTTGAAGTGTATTTGTCTAAATATATGTCACATTCTTTAACTCCAAGAGAATTTCCAAAGTATTAGTCTAATGCCTCATTATTTTCTTCATGACATTCTTTACATATGAAAAGTTTAAAAACTATGATCTGGAAACTTGAAAGAAAAGTTACATTTAGTATGAAGTGTGCTTCAGAATTTGGTTAAGGTCATTCGATAATGGAGTTTCATCAAATGAAACAAAACTGAAATGCATTCTATCTTTGATTTTTAGATTTTGTTTTAAATTACATAAATATATAAATTATTATATGTTTTTAAAATTATAAACTATACATTTTTAAGCTTTATATCTCTCATTTACTTGATTCCAATATGCTTTCTTAAGAGGAAGAGAAATATGTAAAATCTTCATGGTGTACTCAATTTGCTCATAAACCAGGGGCTATATATTATGCGACACATACGTTGTAGAAGAGGCTGTGAGCCACTGGATAGATAGATATTATAGAATCCAGCTAGAGTAATTATTTAAATTTTATGCCAAAATTGCTTAATTACTACGAGTTAGGAATAAGGTTTTGTGCTGGCTGCTGGGGACATGAAAAAGAGCAAGACAATCAAGAAACAGAATCAGGATTCTTTTCCTCTTCAAGCTTACATTCCAGTGGGGAAGACAGATATGAAACTAATTATCCACTAGTTATTTAATTATGGCTATGGTAAGTGCTGAGAAGGGGAAGTCCACAGTACTGAGAGATAAGAGGTATTTGATCTAGCCGATCTAGCCAAGTCTGCAGGAGGTAGTTGGGGAAGGTTTTTCAGAGGATGTGAGGTTTAACTTCGAGACCTTCGGGCTGGCATCAGCTAGGGAGGGGGAGGAAAGTAGTGGCGGGGACAGGATGACTGTTTGTAGGAGAAAGGCTCTGAGGTAGGGAGTAACTGAACTGCAAGCCACTGATGCAGCATGGCAACAGTGGCTGATGGGATGGGAAGAAATAGATCCTCCTAGGCTATGTTAAATAATCTAGATATTTTTTTTCCTCTGAAAAATAGGAAACCATGGAAGGGTGTTTTAGTTAGGGGTCAATTTATATTTCCAGTGTTTCTGTCTTCACTTTTAAATTTAAACTTCTAGTCTCAGAAGGTTTTCTTAAGAAAACTATTTCTAAATAATTTTATATGAAATGGTTTCCCATTTCTGCTCCAAATTCGGTTCTCCAAAGACACTAGTACCTGGAAAGAATACCATTGCATACCCTGTTTCCTCTGGAAATGCGGAGACGGTGCTTCCATGGAGCTGAGAGGGGTCCTGAGGAGAGTCAGAAACTTTTCTATCTTGATTTGGAGCAATATTGGGTATTCGATTCTGTTGCAAGTCCCACTTTCGAGCTACGTTGTTAATTGTTAACCTTTTCTTCTCCTATGAAAAAGTTCAGTGTGACAAGAATTATATAATGCAATTTCTGTAGCAGGATGGTATCCCTGAAGCCTGTTGTTCAAACCACTTAGACTTTTAAAAGGAGTATATTCCTTAAAAGCAGCTACAAATAGGTACTCTAAAATACAAGTGGCCTTTATTTACCCTGTGCATTCAAACACCTCAACAGTGGTCTATCATACTTAAAGAGAAAACTTCACACACAATGATTACTCTCATTGAAAAAATGAAAATTCACTATCTAAAAGTTTGACAGAAAGTCTCACACCTGTTATCTAAGATTTTAATTTGAAAGAAATTTAGATGCCTTTGTGTTTAAACATAGCAAGAAGAAAACTAATAATATTTTAATTTTCCTACCCAATAATTCAGACTAGTATGATGGAATAATCTTGGTTGAGAGGTGAGAAGAGGGATTGATCCATGTTCCAAGCTTCACAGCATGAATTACAATGTCTGAAAACTAAAATTACATACAGACTACTAAAAGAAATTGTACAAGATTGAAATATTTCTAGGCAACTAGTAGCATCCCAGATGAATACGAAAGAAGTTAATTCATTACATGCAATGGGTGCCTTAGGATAGTGTTTTTCAGACTTTAGTGTGCCTCAAATCACCTGGAGAACTTATGAAAACACCAGTTGCTAGTTCTCACCCCATCCCGATTTATTGTGTTTGAGATGGAGCTTGAGAATTTGCATTTCTTTTTTTTTTTTATCATCAATTACCAGCTATTTTTTTTTAATTTTTTATATTTTCAGCGTAACAGTATTCATTGTTTTTGCACCACATCCAGTGCTCCATGCAATCCGTGCCCTCTCCAATACCCACCACCTGGTTCCCCCAACCTCCCACCCCCCGCCCCTTCAAAACCCTCAGATTGTTTTTCAGAGTCCATAGTCTCTCATGGATTTCTAAAAGCTCCCAGCTGTTGTTAAGGCTACTGCTCCTTGGACCTCGCTGTGAGAACCACTGACTTAGGTAGGGTATTGGGGCTCCATTCTCTCACAGAAACTTGTTGAGAAAAGCAGATCTAGAGTACTGAAAGAAAATGTACAAGGTTGAAATGTTTCTGCTCAGCTTATATAAATTGATAAGGAAAATAATCAATAATCTGGTAAAGTGTCCATTATTAAGAATTAACATCTTTAAATGGCATGTCAATGTGGTCAGAGTGCTGAGGACAGACATCTTCCATTTCCTCTGTACTGAGAGCACCCATCCAATGACAGATCAGCTGTGTGATACTGACCCCTCCACACCTACTGCCTAGGGAATCAGGGAGGGCTGTTAGGAAAATTCTTTGCCCGTTTCCTCAGTGCATTTATACATGCAGAATAAATTTTTAGTTCCATCTCTCTGCCTATATTTGGATAACCTAAAATTTTAGCATGGAAAAATGGCATTGGGTAGGAATGAAAAGTGAAGACAAAGCTTAATTAAAACTAAAATTTTTTTTAAAGTTCTGTTTCTGTGTTTAAAACTGTTTTTAGCATGGATTCCTTTTCTATTGCTTGTTATTTCAAATTTCTCTATATCGTTACATGGGTTATACTTAATATGCATATACTTCTGAGACTTGTGGACATTTTATGTAGGTCTTCCTTATCTAAAGCAAGTAGAATCTGCTATTTTACTATAAGAAATTTTTCTCCCAAATCTATACTAAAGAGCATCCTACCTTAAGGAATTCTATTTTGGGTATTCATTGATAAATGGTACAACCTAATTCTCAACCCAAGTAGTGTCACTTTTACTTAGCACCAGGCCACTATGAAAGAGGCAGGGGCAGTAAGTTAATGGCAGATGGCTGTAAAGTTGACTCCACGCATTTGGTTTTCTGGCTGACTGGGAGTTGGCAGAAATATTCTTAATGAGGTAGATATAGTTGTGCTTATAAAAAGAGATACACAATATCTTTATACCACTGAGTCTGTTAGCAAATTTGTAAGATACTCTGAAAATACAAACACTTTCTAATACTCACCCCAAACTTAAGCTTCCTTTATTTGGTTTATTGAAATTAGATCAACACCAGGTTGACTAAGGGAATGGATATTTTTACTGAGGCCAGGAAGAGGAGACATTTTAAAATAGGATTACAGCCTGGAGTCAGATGGGGGTTGGTCACTGGCTCACCAGGGGGCCACATAAGGGCTCTAGGTATCTGTGGTGCAAAAAAAAAAAAAAAAAAAAAAAAAGCAGCAGCAGCCAGAGAAAGGCTACAGATTCTGCAAAGCAGAAGGGGGTATCTGAAGAAAATCTTCCACTCAAAGATCATGGATGTATTTGGCATATCAGTTATTGTCATGTTTCTAAACCTAGGTAACAATACATTGCGAAGTCTGTGTTAAGGTGACAATTATTTTAGAAGATTCCAAATTTGCAGCTTTTGCCACTTGAGTCTACTCTTCATAGTCCAAGCAATATCTCACCAGTAGAGCTTGTAACTATCACTTCCACGCATTTCCAAGGTTGCAAGGAAAACAGGAAGACAGAAAAGCAACAGAAGATACGTGTCAATGCACTCTTCTGGTCCCTTCGCAACCACCCACCCACTTTTCTTAATGACCAGGACGTGCTGTCGAATGAAACGACAGCCAGAGAATGCTGAGGATCTTCGGTATCAGGATTTCGAATCTGGGCTACGGCTGGAATCCAGGTCTCTTGATTTCCCATGATTCTCCTCTAATTAAAAAATTTTAAAGCTAAATAACCCTCACAATTAAAGAGTCCTATTTAGTGACTTCAAGAGAAGTATTCACTATTTTTTGAAGTTTTCAAATTTTCCAAACATGTACAAACCACGTTGGCTAAATGTTTAATGGCTATTTCCAAAAATGCTGAGCATGAACAGCACCTGAATTGGGTATATAAGAAAAAAAATTTCAGTGCAAAAGTGTAGTCAAGAGCAATTTGTTGCCTATACCAGGCTCAACTTATACTGGTAGCTTTAAAGCTAAACCAATGGAGTTTGTTTATTCTGCCTTTCCATGCTTTAAAATACAATACAAAAGTGTTCTTTTGGTCTGACAGCTTTAGTCTGTTTATTTACTTATATATTTTTATTCATTTGGCCATTCATTCACTTATGCAGCTTAGGTACTGGAGCTGTAAGATCAGAAATACAGAGGACTCCTGAATAACATGGGGGTTGGCTCAGGGGGGCTGCAAATCTATGTATAATTTTGGACTTGTCAAAAACTTAACTACTGATAGCCTACCATTGACTAATAAAAGCTTTACCAATGATATAAACAGTTGATTAACACATATTTTGTATGTTAGATGCATTATATACTGTATTCATATAATAAAGTAAGCTAGAGAAAACAAAATGTTGAGAAAATCATAAGGAGGAGGAAATACACTTACAGTACTGTACTGTATTTATTGAAAAAAATCCAATTAACAAGTGGAGCTGCGTAGTTCAAACTCATATTATTCAAGAATCAACTCTATTACTTTTTCCAAATGAACCATTCAGAAAGTTTACCAGTAGTATTATTTGTCAATGGTAAATCTTGCTCCTACCTACTCGTTTTAAAAATTTTACCTACAACTATATTTCATATAAACCAAAGTGTGTTTTTGACCAACCCTTAGAAATATTCCAATAGAGAAAAGACTAAAATTCTATCAGTTAAATCAATAAAAAGAGATATCAAGAGGGGGCTTAGGTACGTCTAATTAATGGGATGAGGGGAAAACAGATAAAGTTGGGGAGGAGTCAAGAGGTTAGAAATAATAGCAAATGAGAAAATTGTATCATTATGTCGAGTTCTAAATACTTTTGAAGTAGTAGTCTTAAGCTGAGAGGGCTTGGGACCAAGTATTTTTTTGTTTTGTTTTGTTAACTTAGGAGTAGTTTTCATAGAATAAAGCACATAGATTCAAGTAGTCTTAATTAGTTGTGAGGAAGGCATACACCGGTGTAACCCATACGCCTATCAAGATATACATTTCCATTGCCCCAACAAGTTTCCTTGTTTCCTAAGTTTATTTTGTACAACTTCATATCCCTACCAGTCATCTTTTGAATTCTAAATGGCATTTTCATTTTAGGAAGAAAAGCACCTATGTAAGACAAGAATGAGTAAGGATAATCAGCCTGATATCCTTAGTTTTAGAACATAGTAGGAGCATAATACAAGCTATAAACTTTAAGCTGTCTTTATTTTCATTGTGATGCAAGTATAAAATATTTTAATAGAAAATATTCTAAGGAAAACAATCACGATATGATAAATCATTTAAAACTAGTTTAAAATAAATTTTACTTCCTAAATCCTCAAAAATCTTTACCACCTCTATTTAAGAGAAGTTAATAGTTTTCAATTTAAAAAGCAATTATTAAAAAAGAAACCCATGTATCAGAGCTCATTAAAATATCTCAGTAAATGATGGTCGATTATAGGGGTTTCCGAAATGAAGTGTACATGGCACAAGGATACACAAGATGATGCACTGGTGTAGAAAAAAAAAACCCTGTAACTTGTGTTCTATTTAGTTTTTATCTCTTCCCCTTAAAATCTGTAGCTTTTGCATGTGTTTTATAATGCACATTATGTTGCATTTCTCAAGTACAGGCTTATTTATAGGTAATTTACAAACGGTATAAGGGTATTTATTTACAAAAAAACTCTACCAATAGGTAGAATTCTACTTTACAAAGTTGGGAAACTGCTTTTCCAGTTGACAAGCAAGCTGGTTTCAGGGCAGCGAGGGTTAGGACGCACACGCATGTAGACCTTAGGGAAAGTACCTTAAGCAAGGACTGTTTATGACTTTCCCGCTTCTTCTCTTCCTCCTTTTTGGCTACAACAGATGCGATACGCCTTTCTTCTTCCTAAAAGCAAAAAATGTTTACAAGCATTATTAAGTATTTAACTTCTTCTGTATGATTTCTTTGGTTCTACCGGTCTGGTTTTCTTTGTGAGAAGCATACTACTTGCTAACAGAAAATATGCCCTCATAGGAATTTAGTCTTTTCCTCTTTATTCTTTTGCCTTCCCAACTCTAAAGAACTGTACGTTCTTAACTCTACTCCCAACTTTTGATGTGTGATGAACGTAGCTAATACAAGACAGAAAACAGAATGAGAAGGGCAAGAAGCAAGGGGGAGCAGGTTTACATAGTTTTTCTTTGTATACCATGTACTTACAGTTCCACATATAAAGACTTAAAAACTTTCAGCTATGATGATAAAAACAACAAGAATTATACTTCTCACAACTTTTATTTGACCTATGGATGTAAATCAGAGCTTTTTAAATACTAAAACAAGTATGAAAGCTTTTTAGAACTCTCCATTGATATTAATAAATTATTCACCATTAATATTATCACTTTTACTTTGTTTTTAAGTTGATTTGGCCAGTCTAATTTCTTAGATTCTAAAAGCTATAAAATAACATTAAAGTTTAGAAAAAATTTTAAAAATCAGCCATGATTCCCACATGCTAACTCACATCTTATTATTCCTGTATCACCTTACAGTATTCACTATAAACATATTTTTTCAAGCGGCAATCTGTATACACAGTATGGATCACGTTTTTTTCCCCTGAAGATAGTCAAATTTTAGTAAATTATAAACATGTAATTTTAAGTTTTAATATAGAAGGATCTATAGGTATTCAAAATGATGTCGCAATTTCAGAAAAACAATTCCTTCTTAAAAGATGAGCTTGAAAATATCTCCAGAGATAAGAAACCACAAAAAGTAATTTTGCACACTTGAAGAACTCCTACAGAAATGAAAAATTATACAAACCGAAATGAAAAATCTAATGGAGGAGAGCTGAAGAGCATACTGTACGCAGCTGAAGAGAGAATCAGGCAACTGAAAAACAGGCCAGAAGACTTTCCCATATGCTTTCATAGCACCCTAAATTCCCCACTACAGCACTTAACCTGTTTCATTTAAATCTCTGCTACTCTCTCTCCCCTCTCCTACCCCAGGAGTTCATTGAAGGTATGGACCATGTCAACTCCTGGCACATTGTAGACAGTCAATAAATATATATTTAAAGAATTGATTATTAAATACACATCTTCATATATCTGTCCAACAATTTCCTAAAACTGGAACCACTAAATTAAATGGAAGACATATTTCTAGGACTTTTGATATGTTTACAAATTGCCCTCCATAAGTGTGGTACTGATTTCCATCCCTATCAGAAGGCAGCATTTGATTTAAAACATAATATATAGTCATGACAGCTGTTCATTAAATATTCCTGTGTCTTCCCACATCCAGGCCATATTGTAAGATAGCAATTCTGATCCCTTATCAGTTAGGTGCTATCATTTTCTTTAACCAATGTCAGATGAACAAAATCACATGTGTTTACTTCTGGGGGAAGTTTATTTGGAAGGAAGCTTTTAAAGACAATGTATGGGATAGCTGTTCTCTCTCTCACCTCTGCTATAGAATCTGCAAAGCTCCACATGGTGGGTACTTTGAAGGCCTTGGTTCTAGAATGAAGACAACACAGAGCAAAGTTTCCAGACCACATAATACATACATACATACTGCAGACAGGCAGTACGAACATGAAATAAACTTAATTGCTTTAATTCACTGAGGTCAGGGAAGTTGTTTCTACAGCATAATCTAGCCTATCCTGACCAGTATATTTATCATGCTAGAATTAAGGAAGGTCAAAGAGGCCATGAAAATGTATTCTAGGGGGTTAGCTATTATAAATACTTCTGAAAGCAAAGAAAAGACCTAAATGAAAGAAGGACATAAAAAATACACAAAGAGAAATTATCAAAAAGTTATAAAGCAAACTAGAAATGCACCCACTGGAAGACTCTAATTTTAGAAATGAGGTACTGAATACTCTGAGAAGGTTAATAATTTATACAAGGTCACAGAGCTAGTGACAAAGCCAGGATCAGGACCAGAAGCCACAGCTTCTGAGAAATGGAATTTGAATTTTTTATAATAAGGACATGTTTAAATGTATTTTAACTGATTTTAGAAAGATATAAAAGGTAAGGTTAAAAGTCAATAGCAATCTGCTGTATGATTTAATTGTTATAAAGGGAATGGAAAATGAATGTGACTTGTGGTGAATTTAAAATCTTTTACTAGGGCGCCTGGGTGGCTCAGTTGGTTAAGCGACTGCCTTTGGCTCATGACACTGGAGTCCCGGGATCAAGTCAGGCATCGGGCTCCCTGCTCATTGGGGAGTCTGCTTCTCCCTCTGACTTCCCCCTCTCACGCTCCCTCTCTCTCTCTCATTCTCTCCCTCTCAAATAAATAAATAAGCTCTTTTTAAAAAAATCTTTTATGATATGGAAAATAGTTATATTCTTGGTGTTTGAAGGCTAAGTAGAGCTTCTGAGGCAAACTCAAATTCAGAAGTTTGATTCCTAGTTTCACAATATAGCTAGAATAACAACTATATTAAACTCTTCTGTCCAGTAAGTACGGATTTGGTACCTATTAAGTATAACCTATTTCAGAACAAATTTTTTTAAAAGGCAAAATATATCGATGTTTGATTGTTGACTCATCTATAAAATGTGAACTAGAAACAGATTGGTTATTCAAAGAGTCAATTTCAAACAGTACTGGAAACTGTATGGATCACGTCCTATACATATTTGAGAGATGATTTCATCAGATTTCCAAAAAGAATTTGAGCTTCTATTAAAGGCAGTAGGACTTTAAAAGGAAGGCTAAACCTAAGAAAACTGGATACATGCCAAATCAACTCAAATATTGTTTTAAGGAGTTTATACATCTAATGACTATATTTCAGCCCAAATAATTAGAGAGTAACTAAACTTGGAAACAAAAATAAACCTCTAATTGTAAAGATGAGCTATAAATCTGTTGGTAAGAAGGAAAAAAACTGTAAACTTCTGGCATCTTCATGATAATAGTTCAATTTCTGGGATAAAAGCCATATTCTTTATATAGCAAAGCAAAAGGATCTATCTAGGACCAAAAAATCTTTTTTTCTTACTTTAGTCTGTTCATGAAGATAAAATGTAGAAATGATTTCAAAATAATTAATAAGTACAGTGATTTAATAGGTGTTTGATAACTTAGATTATACTCTGTTAGCAGACTATTAAGGCTCTAGAAAATGCATATTTTATAGGAGAAAAAGTTTTGCTCCAAATAAATAATAGTAGTCCTAATGTATGCAGTAATTTACGATGTGGAATTAAAGAAAACAAATGGCAATGTGGGTTTTTAACCATATACCTTAGGATAGTTAGTTATAAAAGACATTATTTTCCCTGACTACAGCAAATATTAAAATAGACTTTAAAAGCCATGTTTTTGTCTAGAAGAGGCAGTCCGTATTTTTCATTCAAACAGCCTTTTTTTAACAGATAAAACTGATCTGTCTAGGTCCTAGCTAATGTCAGAGCGAAGGCTGGAAGCCATATTCCCTAACTTCTCTTGGCCTGGGGATATTAGCTGTTAAATACTAGGGGGGGTAAAAAGCCAGAACAAGCTAGGTTCTGCTGCCATAACTTCAAAATTTACACTGGCTTACGACAAAAGTTTACATCTTGATCATGCAAAGAACCCTGCAACTGTCCTCCTTGCAGTGCCTAAGTATTCCTGGGTGCTGTGATCCGGTGGCATCTTCAACTCAATCCATGCCCCCATGAGGGCCACCACAACAGGAGAAAAGCAGTGAAAATCACACATGGGCTTTTAAAAGCTGCTGCCTGAAATCTACATACATTACTTCTGCTCACATTTCATTGGTCCAAGCACCTCGCATGACTACAATTAAGTTCAAAGGGGAAGGGAAACAGAATCCTCCCACCTGCCAAAAAGGACGATCAGTGCTGTAGATCAAGGACTGGCAAACTCCAGTCTACAAGCCAAATCCAGTCCATCACCTAATTTTGTAAATAAAGTTTTATTGGGAGTGTTAGTAACAGCTCCCACCATAGAAAACTCACTTCTGTCTCAGACTGTTCCACTTTTTGGAGGGCAAATGGTAAACAAGGTCATATTAAGCCAGCTAATTTTGTGTCTCAAGTGAAAACATTAGAAATTGTGAAGTTGTGCCTGTTTCAGAATTCTGAGAATAGTGCCTGTGTTAGCAAAATACTGCCTTAGAAATTAAAAGGAAAAAATTCTGCCTACCCTAGAATTGTCTATACAATATATATTCTCTATCCTACAATTGTCTATACAGTGTCTGTTCTCTTTTTTAACAGACAGCTGTGAATATATTTGAAGACCACTGCAATATCTTCCCTATGTCTTCCCTGTCAACGAATTGTGCCAGCTTCTCTGGAAATTCGTCAGTTTGTTGTCACCCCTCTAAAACTAATAGTTCAGGTGTAATCTGATCATCGAAGAAAAAAATGGGGACTACCATCTCTACTTTTCTGAATTCTCTGTTTTGATAAGATTGTTTTAAACCATTTAACTTCTAACAATCCCATCTCACAATTAAATCAATCTGAACTTAATTTGCTAAGTCTCATCTCACATAAATCTGCATTTGTGCTGATAATTGTATGGAGTAAAGTCCAGGATTTTCAATGTATCTATTTTTATCTTGCTAAATTCTGCTTTTTTTTTTCTACACTAGAGGTCAGCAAATTTTTTCTATAAAGGGCCAGATAGTAAATACTTGAGGCTCTGTGAACCACAAAAGATCTCTGTCACATGTTGTTTTTCTGTTCTTTACTTTCTTAATACAATGCTTTAAAAACAAATAAACCATTCTTCTCTTGTTCCGAAACAGTCTGCACGATGGATCTGGCCCACTGGCTATAGTATGCCAAACCCTGCTGTAGATCACTGAGCTACTTTGGGATTCTGTTTTGATCCACCAGTTTATCAGGATC